AGACAGAGTTTCGCTCTTGTTACCCAGGCTGGAGTGCAATGGCACGATCTCGGCTCACCGCAACCTCCGCCTCCTGGGTTCAGGCAATTCTCCTGCCTCAGCCTCCTGAGTAGCTGGGATTACAGGCACGCACCACCATGCCCAGCTAATTTTTTGTATTTTTAGTAGAGACGGGGTTTCACCATGTTGACCAGGATGGTCTCGATCTCTTGACCTCGTGATCCACCCGCCTCGGCCTCCCAAAGTGCTGGGATTACAGGCTTGAGCCACCGCGCCCGGCTGGACCATCATGTTTTTTAAAACCTCACGTTTCCCCAGAAAACCACCAGGCGGCGCAGGAGAGCACATGCTGTGGACCTGGGTGGCATACTGTGAAGGCTACTAATTAGTGAAAGAAAAAAATCCATCCCTACACAGACGCTGCTTTCTGGAGAGGAAACCAATAAACTGGAAGAGGGTTAAGTGAGCAGAAAATTTCCCAAGGAGGAACCCGCTGGCTAGAAGGCATCGCAGGAGGTCTTGGTTCATCTTCCCAACTCTCCAAGATGGTCCTTGCACTGTCACAGAAAGAATCCACTAATATCTCTCCTTGGCTTATACATCTTCAGGGACCAGACTCAGATTAGGCAGCTGAACCCTTCATGCTGAGGGAACCTGCGCTAGGGGAAGGCGCAGCAGGGACAGTGGGGATGGCTCCCATCCGGGCTCCATGACCACCATGTTCGGTTTAGGCGCTGCCAAGCAGTAGGAAGTGATGGGAAAGGGAAGGGTATTTTATTTTGGGAATCTTGGTAGAACTAGGAAGCCAGAAGCTATTCATTAAACAAGCTACACATTGGCAAGAAAAAAAAGCCCAATTGTACTGGACATTTAAAATTCACTATTTAATAACAGAGTAGAAAAAGAATCTCAAGATAATCACATTTAGCTGTGCAGCAATTACCTCCCTCTTTCCTCTCTGGAACCCAGTTTTTTCCAAAAAAAAAAAAAATCTTACAAGAGAAAGAGAATTTAAATAACACCAGTTTTATACAATCTCCTTTCTTTTCAGATGAAGGAACAATAGCCCAGGGAAAGGAAGTGACTGGTTTGAGTTTACCCAGCTGGTTAGTGGCAAAGCTAAAAAAGAACCTGGTGTCTTGACTGTTAGTCCAGGGATTTTCCACCCATTTTTCTCTGTCTTTTGATGTACAGGAAAAGTACCAGAGTAAGGTTGCTATTTAAAGAAGAAACGTATAGCTTGGCAGTTCCTCAAAAAGTTAGACATAAAATTACCATATGACTCTGCAATTCTGCTCTTAAGGTATATGCGCAAAAGGATTAAAAACAGGCATCGAACAAGGACATGTACATGAGTGTTCACAGCAGTGTCACGCACAGCAGCCAGAGGGTGGACACAGCCCAGACGTCCTCTCTGGGATGAACCAATAAATTCCAGAATGTACATGCCCTAGAATATGACTCAGCCACAGGAAGGAATTAAATACTGACATGCTCCAACATGGATGAATCCTGAAAACACGCTTGGTGAAAGAACCATGCACAAAGGACCACATGGAATGATCCCACAGATAAGACATGTCTGGGCCTTATCTATAGAACAGATAAATACATAGAGACAAAATGCAGATTGTCTCTGGTGACCAGAGGCAGAGGGGAAGGGAGAAGAGTAACTGGTTAATGGGCATGAGGTTTCCTTTTGAGATGCAAATGTTTAGAACTAGATAGAGTTGTGGTTGTACACATTGTGAATGGACCAAATGCTACTGAATTGTGCACTTTTTATTTATTTATTTTTGAGACAGAGTCTCACTTTGCTGCCCAGACTGGAGTGCAGTGGCATGATCCCGGCTTACTGCAGCCTCTGCCTCCTGGGTTTAAGTGATTCTTGTGCCTCGGCCTCCCGAGTAGCTGGGATTACAGGCATGTGCCACCACACAAGGCTAATTTTTGTATTTTTAGTAGAAATGGAGTTTCACCATGTTGCCCAGGCTGGTCTCGAACTCCTGACCTCAGGTGATCCACCTGCCTTGGCCTCCCAAAGTTCTGGGAGTAGAGGTGTGAGCCACGGCACCTGACCTTGAGTTGTGTACTTTAAAGTGGTTTATGTTTCATCTCGATTTTACAAAAGTATAACATGGGTCTCCATTATGTGCTCATAAAGTTGGGGCAGAGGATGAAGAGGGCAGGTTATTTGATGTGAGCATATAGGGGCCCTGAGCTCCCCAGGCTGGGCTCACTCAGCATGGAAGACAGGCACATGACTTGCAACTCTTCCATCCATTCTGAGGAAATTTCCATCCAAGTCAAAGGAAGGGGGAACCCACCATCTTTCTGGGCATGAGAGTTCTAGTACTGAGCTCAAAGAACCCAACACAGAGTGAGGGCAGAGATGCCCTGCCTGAAGGTACTTCCACATCAGCAAGGCTTACAGTTCCCCTGTCTTGATGACCAGGAAGAAAGGTGAAAGGGACAGGCTTGCTAGCCTACAGCAGTCCAGTCCGCAATCCAATCCAGACCTTAGCCATTGCACAGTCTTGCCGTATGGCTCAGTCATGCTGCCTCTCAGGTTCCTCGCCTGCCCTTCCAACCACACCAGAGGTGACTGCCTAGGTGCAGAGAAGTGCAACCTCCAGATTCGGGGGTGGTTGGTTCTAGTGAGATCATCCTGGGGAGGACCACGAAACTTCCATATCCTAGGAGGGAAAGTAGAGGAGAGGGGGTAGGTTGAGCCCGAAGAAGACGGGCCGCCGTGATTGAATTCACATGCTGCGAGAAAGTGTCGACTTTTTCTGTTTAGTTCCACAGGGACAAAGCCAGGACCAAATACGAGGATGTTTCAGAGAGGCAGCTGCTTCTTTGAGACACCGGAAGAATTGTCTCATAAACATAGCCATGCCACAATACCATTCGTGAAAATTAAACATACTCTAAATATGATATGTTTGAAGGATCCTTTTATGTATAGTAAAATAAGAGGCAGGTTGTAAGGACAGAAAATACATGAGAGGAGGGCTCATTGCAGGGGGCAGGGAAAGAGTGCAGAAAGGAACAAAAATACAATAAAGAAAGAACTCCTGTATGGACGGATCGTAGACTAAGTTCTGGAGAACGTGACGAACTTAGCTCTTGTATATCTGAGGCCCTCCAATCCCCTCTCCCTCCCCGCCGACACAAACACACACACACCCCCACAGGAAGAAAAGAGACTAGAGCTACCTAAAGGTAAAATGCTCTGCCATGGTAAGTACTGTTTCACAAAAACTCCAAGTGGCACTGGTGAGGCATGTTACTGACAACATTCCCACGTAGGAGGGAGGCTGGATGCTTTTCAGAGTCACTCTTTCAACATGCAGATTCCCAGGGCCTCAAACTTTTGGCAGGGGCCAAATCAGGCCGTAGATTGTTTTCTAATGCCCTTAGAACCTGTTATCGTAGACAGGGATGGTCCATACATGTGGGCAACCTGCCCGAACACAAGGCCTTTAAATTTGCAAGGCTTGGGTGAAATTCAGATTCAACATGTCTGAGATGGCACACAGGTAAGTTTGCTAAGGATCCGCCTGGTTAGAAGACCTCTGGGCGTGGTGGGGTCTTGTCTACTTCGAGAGCACTGGCTGCATGGTTAGACCGCCTGGGTTTCAGGCCACTTCCCACTTAAAAGTGCCGGGTGGCGGGACTTGGGCCAGCACTGAAGCTTGGAAGCTTTGTACTTATCATCTGAAAAATGGGGATAACAATAGTGCCCATCCTAGAGGGCTGCTGTGAGGGTTTATCACACAGTTCCCACGTAAAGCACTTGGCAAAGCATGGGGCACAGAGTAAACACTCAAAAAATGTCAGCTGCTGCCCCGGAGTGGGTTTGAGCTCATAGGGATGAGGAAGCATTCTGTCCACCTCCAGGACATTACCAATG